CCCCAAAACCCCAAAACCCCAAAACCCCAAAACCCCTTAAGATTTTGGGTGGTATAATTATTTTCTGTACAAGATGGAAGGAGTTGATACCTCTAAAAAGGTCGACCATGACTTGAGAATGTTCGATATCGCAGCTAATCTCTCAGACGAAAGTTTTCAGGGCATTTATCATGGCAAAAGTATGGATTCAGGGGCTTTAATGGGATTTTTAAGGGATTTATAGGGGTTTAACTTAGGAATTTAGAAGCGCATGAACCGGATTTTGAAGTTGTGATGAACAGAGCAAGGCAGTACGGGGTTGAGAAGTTCTTGTTCTCAGCAGGGTATATTGGTAATAGAGGGGGTTGAGAGTTTAGAGGATGCAGTAAAGTCATATGACTTGGCAACTAAGTCGGAGGATTATTTTATGACCATTGGAGTGCATCCATGTAGAGCTACTGAAGTTTATAAAGATGAAGGAACTGTAGAAACTTATCATGAGAAAATTGAGAAGACTATCGAGGAGCATTTTGTAGATAAGTCTAAACTAGTAGCTGTTGGAGAGTGTGGGTTAGATTATGATAGATTCCATTATGCTGACAAAGACTCTCAAATGGCAGCGTTCCCATTTCATTTTGATATGGCAGAGAAATATAACCTGCCAATGTATTTACACTCTCGAGCAACTGGATTAGAATTTATTGATATGTAAGCAACTCCTTAATTGCATTTAGAGTAAAGAAAAATAGAGATAAATTTCCCACTGGAGTTGTCCATTCATATACAGGCGATGAGGAAGAATTAAAAGAGATTCTTGAGCTTGATTTATATGTAGGAATCAACGGTTGCTCGCTCAAGACAGAAGAAAACTGTGAAATAGTAAAGAAAATCCCTCTTGACAGATTAATGTTAGAAACTGATTGCCCTTATTGTGATATCAGAAATAGTCATTTTAGTTCTCAATATGTTAAAACTAAGATTCCGAAAGTTGCTAAAAAGAAATACAATCCAGAGAAGATGTGTAAAGAAAGGAATGAGCCATGCACTATGATCCAAGTTCTTGAAGCAGTTGGTAAGATAAACCCTAAAACCCACTAACCTCATCTAGCTGGCATTAAGGATGTATCTGAAAAAGAAGTGGCAGAAGCAGCTTGGGAAAACACGATGAAAATGTTTAAGTTGGAATAAATACTCCTTTTCAATGTTTTTGTAATATCTAGGGGTTTTGGGGTTTTGGGGTTTTGGGGTTTTGGGGTTTTGGGG